ACCCCTATGACGACAAATAAGAGAAGACAAAGAAAACTATAAAACTCAAATTTCGAAGTCGTGTGATTACAATTGATGAGATGATTATGAACAATAAATCGTGTTCGAATCCTCGTCATCCAGTGAATAATATTACTGTTTCACTGTGTGTGATACAGTTAATAAACAAACTGAAATTTTAATCCAAATTCATATACCATACAGAAACATTACATGCCTTCTAATACTGATCCACACCTTGCTATCCGACGATTCCTTAGCTAACTTCACTTCATGATAAAAGTTCATTTTATCATAATTCCTTAGATTTAAAAAAAAATAATAATGAAATGTACAATAATCAGTTGAAGAAATTATCTTTGAAATTAGAAAGTAATCAAAAGGTCATCATCAGCATCTGCAGCAATCAGTCATTGTTGTCATGACAACGAAGATTATACGCATTACAAAATAATGAAAAGTGATTAATCCTCGGTATAATCAAATTCATTTGACATAATTTGAATAATAATTTAATTAGGAATTTTAAAATTAAAAATTATTTAGGTAATATATTTATTACAGTAGTAGTGTTAGTAATAATAATTAAAATCTTTTTAAATAAATCATAATACACATATTTTTGAAGCATGAATTGAACATTTGAACGTTTTCAAATATTTGTTTTAATGAATGAAACAGAGTTCAACGTTCAATGTAGTTGATCAAATTAATTATTTTGGCAAAATATATAAAAATGATCAGAAATAGATAAAATAGTGATTTATTTCTTAAAAAAGCAGTGAGATAAATTCATGCTGATTACATAAGATGCCCTAGATTATCCTCGCCACACACCGCCTCCCCACCAATTACTACGGGTAGAACAATTCATCATACACTTTTTATTCTAGTAATTTGAATATCCCTCCATAATTCATCATTCATGGATCAAGGATAATTAGAGCAAACTATTATGGTTTCAATAAATTTTTCTTCAGGCATATAATAACGCCAATGAGTGCAAATTAGAATTATATCAGATAGATGGAGTAATAGTCGGTTAGTTTTGATAAGAACTCAGGACTTTCTGGTCACAAGGAAGGCTGATAGAATATCGAGCCAATGTGACCTGACTCAGTCGCCAATGGATTCTAATCTGATGCTTGCCCTACAAGACGAGTTTGACTGGAGCTACGTGTTTAGCCCCTTTCGAACCAGGCCAACCGCCGAATGCCGTTGCCCATCCGGAAGAGGAGTAAGATTGTGCTTACGCGAGCCACTCTAGCGACTGATACAGTCCCAGAGCGACACCCTGAGATGAATTTTAAATTCTCTAGTGTTGGAATCTCAGGACAATCTTGGTGCCACCCCTCCGGCTGGGGTGGGTACAGAATCATCTAACCAGGGACATATGCGCACTGGAGCCAACCTAACCTGACTCATGAATGCGGATCCTGTCCTCCAAGCCACAGCCCACTGCACAAGGTACTGCTTCAGACTGGCCTTGGCTAACAACTGCACCAAGCTACGCCTCGTGGTAGGGTTACCAGCCCTAACAGCCACCCACTAACCAGTTGGCTCTGATCCTCTCATCAGGAATCCCCAAACCTTTGACCCACCGATGCCCCGTACACCACCATAAAGGCCTAAGGACGGCACGGATGTTTCATCAAGGCTGAGTAACCTGACGTGAATGTTGTCTCATGCAAGCGACGGGTCTTTGCTGAGGCTCGGGTTGCCTACCCGATAAGCCCCACCTAGCGGTTGCTACGGGGAGGTGCCTGCCACATGTAACTATACCCCCGTCCCGCCATTACCCATGCTTAGGTGAGTTTCTTCACGTTGATACTCAGAGCACTGGACGGAACAGAGTAACCAAATGGAGACTTTCGCAAGAAAAGCCAGTACTGAAAAGCACACGATGGTCTAAGGTTTTCTCACCTCGCACAGTATGCAGGGCCTCCCTGCTAAGCCATCCACTCCTGATGTTGTGAATGGCTACAAACGCATGCTGCGGCCACCAACATACGCCTAAATCATCCACCTAGGCAAAGGGAGACACTTTGGAGAACACTCGATGGTCACCAGCTTTTACACCTTGCACCGCCTGTGGGCTTCCTTGCTAAGCCATCCATAGCGGAAGTATCGACGAGTCAATTAGATGACGAGGCATTTGGCTACCTTAATGGAGTCCTAGTTACTCCCGCTAAACTATGAAACGAGCTTGGCTGGAGCTATTTTTAGTGAGAAATCGTGACCAGTGTGGTCACTAGCTATGACGGTGGCTGCTGGTCGAGTTAAAACTACATATTGGTAGAAGTTAGAATTTATGAACTGGTCATTGAATCGGATCTCAACGGCTGAATAGTATACGAACTTGACTTGTAACCGGAAGGTCCTCAGTTCGAACGCCAGTGTGTACGTATTACAGATGAACCTCAAACGAGGCAACAAAAGCACAGGTTCCCAAGGATGAGTGTAATCAGTAGTTTTCGAGACAGTTTGAATATTACAGAGAAATAAACCAATAAATAGGACAGACTAGACATAAGTTCAAGGATGACAATTAACAAAAAACTGATGATGAAATAATAACGATGCTGTAGTGTAAACATGAAAGCACTAGTAGTGAGTAATTATCAGGTAATAAAGAATTTAATGAAGTGGAATGAACAAAACTGAAAGGCATTATGTAACCCTAAGGGGCAACAGACATAATAAGAAAAGTCATAGAGTCATAAAAGGTCTGAAATAAACGTTTGACAATGAAACCACGTTTATGGAAGATTTGTTGATCTTATTGTAGACCAAGATAAACAAGGTGGTTAGACATACTTCTTCTTCTATGTGCAGAGACCAGGTCTTCTGGTACTGAATGCTACCACTTCAGCTAATAACAGAATACGTACTCGAGCTCCTGTAGGTGGATTACCAGGAACACTACAGATAGCCGAGAATGACTTCCCTAGTTGTATTCAGTGTCCCATATGTACCAAAGGGGATAAGACTGACCTATTTGGTCACCCCTTTGCTCAACCTCTCATTCTATTTGGTATAAGTTTCAAAACTCACATAAGAAGAGATCCCAGCTGTGTAAGTAAAACAAAAATCGGGAAATATAAATCATTGGATTTAAATGCAGTCCTTTTCCGACATCTGACCCTGTCTACACATAAAACTCCTGCTAAATATGGTATGGCAGAGCTTTTATGTTTAGCTGTGTGGTATTGTCCGAAAAGATACAAGGAAAAAGTTGCGAATGAAATAGAGGATGTTCGGTGGTATCAGACAAGATAACTTTAGCCAGCTGCTTGCAAGAATTCAAGTACCTATTGATAATAATAATAATGTCAGTTAGTTGAGTCAGAGGCACACGACTAACCCTACATGCACCCTTCAATTTTCTACGTTATATGATATGGTCTTTTTGAGAAGTCCAGGGAGGAATAAGTGGGACGAACAATAAAGGAGAGTAGGCAGAATACATGACTTAAAAAATTGTAAGAGAAGAGAAGCGGTTGAATTATGCCAGCAGAAAATCTCAACTTCTTCATGTAATAAGTTAAACGAAACAGTTTTCTTAGAAATCAACAGGATATGAGACGACGATCAACAGAGTTACGAAGAGAAACTGATGCCAAGATAAGAGGTATTCGATTTACTCCCTATCACAGTGCCATCAGTATAACAGGAGCCATGCAACTGAATCACTCCACGCAAGTCTTATTCGCATCTGCAACCAGTACCAACAATATTACACTTAGATGGATTTAATTTAAGATCATTTAGGTGAGACCATTCATTGGTTACCTTCAGATAAGAATCTATTCACATAAGAACAATCCATTGTGGAAACTATTATCTAAAATGGATAGCTACACAATTCATATATGTATGACATATGAAAAGACGACTATTTTGACTCAAGCATTCCAATGACTTCTCCTCAGAAACATTTTGATGTGGTTGTGTTCTCTGAGCTGGCTGGATGGTTTATTTGCGAAGCTTTCATCGCCCTACTAGGCAACATCTTCAGCGCCCATACTTCAATTCGAATTGAAGTGAGCTTTAAGATTTCTCCACGAGCTTATAATCATCTCTCCTCGTGACCTTGAACGTGATTGGTTGTGTTTTGTGTGTTTTCACACCCTCTAGGTGGCTACTTGTATTGGAACTGATTGTTTCTTTGACTTGAACTTTGACCCTTTGTATGTAAGGTTTCTTTCTTATCGGTTGATAGATTTTGTCTATCTCGATTTGTCTATTGATTGATGATTCACTGGAATACCAGGTGGGCTTATCAAAATTCTCTAGCATTCTTGTTGTTTCCTCTGTCTAATATTTGAACGCTGATTGTCCCAGTCGAATTGATGTCCGTGGTTGTCTGTATGTAGTGATATGAGGGAGTGGATATCATGTCTTTTGACGGCTACCTTATGTTTGTGGATACGAAGACGAAGGGGATGTCCACTTTGGCCAATGTAGTGTTTTTCGCAGCTGTTACAATTTATTTTGTAGATGATGTTGGCTTTATCTTCTTTCGTTGTTGAGTCCTTTCGTTGACATAGAACTGAGTGAAGGTGTGAAAACACACAAAAACAACCAGTCACGTCCAAGGTCACCAGAAGAGATGATTAATAAACTCGTGGAGAAATCTGAAAGCTCACTTCAAGAAATTGAAGTATGGGCGCTGAAGATGTCGCCTAGTAGGGGGCAATGAAAGTTTCGCGAAGTAACTATCCAGCTCAGAGAACACAGCTACACCAAAATGATCCACTGGAGCTACAAATCTTCTCCATCATCTCTTCAGAAACATTAAAATTGAACTGTTAGTAAGTCTGATTGAGATTTTTAATGGATAGTGATCAGTAAATCGTGTATGAAAAGGAAACTACTCAAAATTATTTGAAATCACAATTTCAACTTAGTGATATGATGGTAATATATGCACTGTCACAGTAAGTTTAATGTTGATATACACACACTAAAATGGCTCAATAATAATTTTTCTTTATCAGACTGAATTACGCCTGAAAATGTTGAACAGAGAACGTACAGCTCAAATGCATCGTATGTCCCAGCTAGAAACAGAACGAGATGAACTAATTCGACAAACAGCAACTATTACTGGTCGTGCTGCAGCTGACAGAGAAATGGCTGCTGCTAAACTCCGTGAAATGGATGAATTACGCTCAGAAAGAGATATGCTTCGAAAAGAGTTGACAGAGTGTAAACAAGCACTTGCTGGTAGTACAGCTGAAAATACAGCTGAACGACGCCAATTGCAGGCACGTTTACGTGAAATAGAAATGCACAATGAAGCACGTATTTCAGATATTAAAGCTGAATTGGAAAGAGTACGTGAAGAGCTGGAACAGACACAGGTGAGTGAAAAACAAGATTATATTGATTTATTTAATTTGTTTTATTGATTCTGAAATTTTGATTTATGTAAAAACGTTAAATTCTCTGGAAATTGCCATTAGGCCTCATAGCAGAGTTAATTATCACTGTCATATTAATTATTAATGAGGCTTTAAGCCAATTATGTTTCTAATATCTTGGGGATTTTTCCTTTGTTTAAAAGGCTTTTCTTTCAAATAAACGAACTTCATATGTTGGTGGATGGTGACTAGCAGTGGTATCCAGGACAACGGGCATTTCGTCCTATTTTGGACTCATCATGACGAAATACGCATCCTGGATTCCACTGCTAGTCACCATTCACCAAGTGATTTCAAGTTGCACGACCAGATATCATCGTTGAATCATCTGTACAAGCAGCCGATATGTCAACCTGAGAACGACCACTTCGGTTCAATCAATCGACGGGAAAGTTTTAAAATGAATTTTGAAAAATACGATGTATAGTTTTACATATCAGTTACATAACAACCCCAGTTTCATGGGGAACAATTCCGTAGTGGAGAAATTTCGTGTGGTATAGTTTAGAAAGATACAGCATGCTACTGTCAGCAAGGTGTCAGCAAGGAACTGGTGTTCCAGTTAAGCGTTGTAGCCTATACTCCTCAGTGCCCTCAGACTTCTGTCTACAATACATTTCATCGAATTCCATCAAATGTGAGCTAGTTAAACGTGTTCTTCTGTTGCTTACAGACCTCTTGAGTCTTTCTACAAATTTTGTCCCTCAGAGTATGAAATCTGTTGTAAAAACGATGCATGAGGACTTTGTCTTCTTGATGAAGCTGGCAACCTATAGATTTAGCTTTCAGTGGGGTTATGTAAACATACAGTTGTAACTCCTGAACCTGAGAAGTAAGAGATAGAACTCTGACAGAATGCATTAAAAAAAGGTGTCTCAAAGTGTATGGAGGAATTCTGGTAGCCGATGTAACGGAATAATTGATATTAGTGTAAAACTTGGACACTGTGGTAGAGAATAACTCCATTATAGATAAGATTTCATTTTGATAAATCACACAGTGTTGTACAGTACTATTTACTGATGATAACTTTTCGAGCATAAACTATTGCCAATCATAATCATATCATATGATTATAATTTCCATCCCGTTCCCTATATCTTATTTAAAGGATTTATTACTTCTATGTACTAGCAATGTTAGGTTTACACTTGAAGGCGATTGTTTCCATCAGGTTGATGGTGCAGCTATGGGAAGTCCGTTAGGGCCCCCTTTTAGCAGATATCTATATGTCGTATATTGAGAATTTATCGAAGGATTTAATCGATTTATATAGAAGGTATGTAGATGATATTGTAATCATAAGTGATAAGCCTTGTTGTTCTGTCACTTTAATTTTAAATCGAATGAATGAAGTTCAGAATAGCAAGCATATCACTTACATCTGTCCGTAGAAGAGGAAGATAATTGTTTATCTTTCCTAGATATATTGCTTAGCCGACGGCTTGATGGATCAATAAAAGGATCTATTTATGGAAAACCTACCTGGACAGAACAGTATCTTATTACCACAGTTTCTGCCCTGTTCAGTACAAAAGAGCCTTAGTGAGTGAGATGCCTCTTCAGTAGAATCCAACGAATGTGCACTGAAGACACACCTGATGAGGAAGAAAGAAAGTTGAAACAAACTCCGGTCGATAACAGTTATCCAGACAAGTTCATCAGGAGATATAAAGTAGTCAGCAGAACACCAAGACCCACTCACCAAATCTCGGCTAAGAAAGACGTATACATCCAGCTACCCTATATGGGGATCATAGCACCTAGGTAACTCTACAGAGATTGAACGCTGCTGTTAAAAAGACTTTTTATGCAGCTGATATCATAATAATTGAGATTGTGAAGCCAATATATTCACTTAAGCCTTTTGAACATGCGAAAATGATGTCACATCTCACTGTATTTACCAATTTGAATGTACATGTGGGCACACATACATAGGGAGGACTCATCGATCTCTGCAAGTAAGGGCTGGCTTCAGAGCATATTCTTGAATGGCTTCAGAAGCAAATAGAATCTTCAGAACCCATTAATGATCAGAATAGGAGACATAACTCCTCTATTGTGAAACATATTATAGAGACAGGATATAAAATTGTCACCACACTTCTTTTAAATCTATCTACAAAACGTGTTTAAGGCTTATCTTAAAGTTTGTCTAAGCCCTAGCTAGCAATTACGAAGTTTAAACCACCTTTATGCGGACAAAGCAACAATTCATCCTCACACTAAACCTACCTTCCTTGGTAAACTTTGTTTTGATACCAGCCAGAGTAGATGTACTATTACCTCTGTTATTTTGTTTAGTGATGTTCATTGTTATTTTGACCCTCAATATGTCCTTTTAACTTGCCCTAAGTTCATCTTCTCACCTCCAAACTCCTTATTAATTACATATATATTCCTATGACAAGTTCGTGGCTGTGTGATCAGATTGTTCGAAATGTGTTACACAAATACAGCATTACACGCTTCAGAAAATTCAATAAGGGAACTATGACTGTTTCAAAACAACAGATCAGTTCTGTCTTCTCAACTAAATGCACTTTTATTTCTCTTTTTGCCCAGGTTGAACTACAAACAACTCAAGCCTCCGAGATGGAGTTACGCAGTGTAAATCAACATCAGAAATGGAAAATTCATGAACTGGAAGATCAAGTGATTCACTACACGAATCGGATATCTGGCCTAGAACGTCGTAGTATCGACCTGGACGCTGAATTAATACGTGCTAAGGCTGACTTGAGTGCATCACGTGAAACAGCCTCGTTGAGACGTGCATCGAAGACACGTATGGCTGATGAATGGTTGAATTTGTTGAATATACCCAGTAGGCAGGATGAAACGGATGAAGAGGAATACGATAATGATCATAATGATGATGATGATGATGACGGGGATTATCACAGGAAGGTTATCATGTTGAGACGACGAAGTAGACAAGATTTGAATGACAGTAAAGATGAATTGTTCAGACAAAGGTTAGTGTCACATAGAGTATTTGTCAATATATATATATATATGTTGCATGGAGGATTTCATCATGAGCTGATATCAGTTAGAGAACCACTGGAAAACCTGCAGGGAGTACTGGACAGCTGTTTCGTCCTAGTTTGGGACTCTTCATTAGTACACACCCAACAGGATTTGAACCCAGGACCTTCTGGTTACAAGGCGAGCTCGTAGACAATTGAGCCACTGGGACCCGATCCAATGGTCCTTGAATTCTAACTTCTGCCAATTCATGACATAGCGCGACCATTTCGCAATGTCTTCTTTGATGAGTTACTGCCTCATCTTCAACCTGCTGTACCCTACTGGTCACGGCTTCCCTCTAGAACCCCAGGTTAACTGCCTGAATAGGGCCAGTCACTAGTGAGCACCAGTGGTTCTCTAACTGATGTCAGCTCATGATGAAATCCTCCATGCAATTAAACAAAATCCCTACCAAACCAATACTTGAAAATATATATGTATTTTGGCTGGTAAAAACTAGTTGCAAATCAGCTGCAGGAAAAGTGCGCTTAATACATTTAGATAAACGATTTTTAATCAACTCAGAAATGGTGTCACCTTTGAATGCCAGACTCATAAACAGTTTTTTTTTTCTTTGGCACTGTGATCTGTCTAGGGAAGGATTCTTTCTTCATGTTACGTTCAATAAACCTTACAGGATAACCATTGCTAAGGAGATTTGATCGAATGTTATCTAGTTCCCGACCGATTGTCTGGAGCATAAGGAATGAATAAGATTTCTCTTTCTCCCTAAAGGTACCCAAGTTAATTGAAGTTAGTGTACTGCCCTGTCAATGTTGGCTTTCGGTAAATCGACCTTAACAGCGTGCCATTCTCTCTTCTATCTAGCTTAATATCAAGGAAGTGAAATGAGGAATTCGACTCTTCTTCAACCGTGAAAAGCAAACATGGGTGAGAACCATTAAATATTCCAAGAAGTTCGGCATCACATACAATGAAGGTATCATCTATATATCTTTTATACATAAACAAACTATCGATGATTTCCTTTAGTGGGCCATTCTTTAAGCTCGCCATGAAGACATCCGCTAAGATCAGTTCTAAAGGAAACCCCATTTCGACTCCATCCCTCTGATTGTAGATGACATCATTAAATCGAAATTGTACATTCAGTGTGCATCTCAGTAATATTAGTTGTTTAAGATATTCAGTTAGTAAGCCAATGTTCATGCTATTTGAATCAATATACTCGCATAGATAGCAGATAGTGTCTACTAGTGGTACATCTATGTGTGTATGTATGTATTGCCATCTTGTTTTCCCGATTATTAAATAGTCCCTATTGTAACACTAAGAACACAATATTCAGCGAAGAGACTGTTTTCAACGAATTTATTAACAAGCTGTACAATGAAAAGTTAATTGGTGGATGTTGACTACCAGTGGAATCCAGTCAGCATGCGCATTTCGTCCTATTTGGGACTGGCGGTCAGCTGGATGTGATGATGTTCCCACCACTGAGGCTCGAACCCAGTACCCATAGTTTCAAACGCCAAAGTATTATTCGCTAGACCACTCATTGTGGAATGCAGGCACATCCAGTTCATCACGAGTCCCAAATAGGATGACATGCGCATCCTGACTGAATTCCACTGTTATTAGTCACCATCCACCAATTAACTTCGAATTACGTGCGCAGACATCGTCAAAACATCTGCACAAGAAGCCGACATGTAAACCTGAGACCGAGCACTTCGGTCCAATCAATCGACGGGGAAATCTAAAATTCACTTAAAGTTATACAATCGTATACATGTATTGTTTTCAAGAATTTAATGCTATCAGGAAATTTAGACAAACGTGTAAATATATAAAGTGATATTAGTATGAAATGCACAAACTTGTTTGTGGTTATGATCATATTTAAATACTAGATGCTTTGTCCTATTTCGGAACTCTTCAGTGGCACGTGCACACTGGGATTCGAACGCAGGACCTCACGGTTAGAAGGTGATCGCGTAGACTACCTAGCGACTGGAACAGATCCCGGTGGCTGAACAGCTTACGGGCTTGCCTTGTATTCGTAAGGTTCTGGGTTCAAATCTCAGTGGACACGTACTTTCGAAGGATCCTGAACTAAGACGAAACAGATGTTCAGTACTCCCTGATGGTTTCTAATGGTTCCCTAACTGATTTCAATTCGTGAGAAAACTTGTGGCCAGTCAAATCTTTACGACTCAACACTTGATAAAATATCAAGTTTGAAGTATTAGTTTTGTAGGGATTTTGTTTGATTGGTTCGAGGATCTCATGATGAGCTGACATCAGTTGGAGAACCATTCGAAAACCTGAGATTACTGGACGGCTGTTTCGTCCTAGTTCTTGGGATTCTGCATCAGCACGCACCCATATCGGGGCTCGAACCTAGGACCGTCTGGTTACATCGAAGATGCCATTTCGAAGTGGGCGCTCTATGTCGTGAATTGACAGAAGTTAGAATTCATACACTGGTTATTGGATCAGGTCCCAGTGGTTGATAAATGGTCTACGAGCTCGCCTTGTAACCAGACGGTCGTGGGTTCGAACTCTGGCGGTGGGTGCATACTGATGAAGAGTCGAAAACTAGGCTGACGAAACAGCTGTCCAGCATTCCCTGCTGGTTTTCGAATGTTTCTGTAACTGATGTCAGCTCATGGTGAAATCCTCCAACTAATATAGAATTGTTGATAGTTTTAATAACACCTTTATTTAGTCACACTAGCCTTTGGTCCTGAGCATGAAAAAACAAGTGTTTCCAGAGCAACGGTGAATATCACTGGCACCACAGGAGTAGTTAAATTGATACATACGACTAGTAGTGGCTAGCTGGGTAAGGTATTTCGTCTTTTAGTCTCGGTATCACTATCAGTCATGCGGAAAATTTCAACTGCAGCTTGCAGCCATTAAACTTTCTTTGAATCGATTTTCTCAATTTAACTGCTTCTGTGGAGCCAGTTACATAGGCCATACAATTAGGCGTGTTTATCGTCAAATTTCCGAACATCACCCTGCATAGTGGTTGGTTAAGCAAAGGACAAACAAAATCTATTCGTAGCGCTATTCCATCTCATCTTGTGGAAACAGACAGAACACAAGATTGATGTTAACCATGCTTTCAGGGGCATTTACCGCATACCTACGAATCTCAGTTTTGCTTTAAGAGTTCGACTACTAAATATTGCTGAGGCTGGCTGTTGGGATCCATATTAACAAGCCTAATTTGTGTATCCAAAAGAAGTTAGTTCAGACATTATCATTACCTTGGTCATCCAGGTTTGAATAATGCTGAATTTTGTGGAATTTTCCTAATTTTAGTTGATATTCTATTCGCTACTATATCTTTATTATTATTATAATTATAATTTAAGCATCTTTAATGAACTGTAATTCCTCTGTTATCTTACTTTACAAATCGATATTATTTAAAAAGCACACTAATATTGTTATTGACTACTATTCTAGAATATTCTATGTATATAAACATGCATATATAATTGTAGAGCCAGAAGAGGAGGAATTTATCGAAAAGGATATTCTTTGCTCGATTATTTTGTGTTTTGTTGGATATTATTTCGCTTGGTATATCCCCTTTGAATTATAGTTGTATTTATAGAGGCTTCTTTTAACAGATGCGGAAAGACTCTTTTCTACCTCCTTGGCTATGTGTTGAGTGATGAACTCTCCACGGTAATTGTTTTCAGTCAACGTATCATATACAACCTTAAGTTTGTCTTCAATCGCATCTTCTGAACAAAAGGTTCGAACCCTATAGCTGAGGGTCTTTACCAAATTTATTTTATATCGGAGAGGAATAAAACTGTGAAAATGTGTATATTGACCGGTCCACATACTTTTCTTGTGCAAGTTCCTTTTTATACTACCATCTGGTCTCCTTGTCTGTTGGACATCTAAAAAAGGCAGTTTTACTTTGTGCAATTCTTTGCCACAGAAGAATTTGATAACTGAATGTACTTCACTGAGTTGAGATATTATTGTGTTCCTGGCGAAATCATTTTCATAAAGGATGAAAGCATCATCCATATATATATTTATATTGGGGATAAAATGAAAATTCTTTGATAAGGTTTAATAAAAGCACAAAGCAAATCTTAACCAACGTAATATTAGTGTATCGGTTGGTGATTAATGCTTAGCCTAAATGATCTCACCATCACTGCATGACTGCATATACTACTTACTTATGTGAGTATTTGGAAACTATTCACATCAATCAGTAGGATTTTCAAGAGTTAATTTGTAGGAATTTGATGTATTTCAACTTTTATCACGAGCTGACATCAGTTAGAGAAATACTGAAAACCATCAGGGAGTACTGGACAGCTATTTTCTTTCTAGTTTGGACGCTTCAAAAGTACGCACCCACTAGGGCTCGAACCCACGACCTTCCAGTTACAAGGCCTAAAACTAATAATGCTAGTAGAGTACATGGTTCTATTAAAATGAATAAGCCAGGTTACCCCATACGACCAATAGTAGATCTTGGGAATTATCAAAACACTTAAATTTAATATTATGCCCCATTAGAAATCCTTCAAACTTTAGGCTAACTGACTAATTCATATGAGATGAAAAACAAACTAAATAACATTCAACTAGAGGATGATGAAACAATGGTTAGTTTTGATATAACCAGTCTTTATACTAATATACCAATCAATATGGCCTTAGAAGGAGTTAAAAAAACTAACTTCCGATCCCGAACTCACTCATACATTATTATTTTAGGAATTCAGTTGTGCCTCACATCTACTGTCTTTAAATTCCGCGGCAAAGTATATAGACAAACAGAAGGTGTAGCAATGGGATCACCAATGTCCCCTATAGTAGCAGACATCTTTATGGACAGCTAGGAAAATATTGCTCTTAATACATTTAATCCTACTCCAAAAATATGGTGGAGATATGTGGATAACTGACACTTTCACAGTGTTAAAAACAGAACATATCTCTAGCTTCTTCACACACATGAACTCACTAGTGGAGGGAATAAAATTCACATTTGAATCAGAAAATGAACAAGGAGAATTAACTATGATGTTAGATTGTAAAATAAAACGAATAGAAGGTAAACTGCACACTAGCGTTTATAAAATGCCAACGCATTCTGCCAGTAGATATTTAGACTTTAATTCATCTCATCCGTTAACTGTTAAGACAGGCTTAGTTAAGTGTCTAACAAACCGAGCAATATCACTAAGTAGCACAAGAAAAGACCTAAATCATGCAATAAAACAGATAGAAGTGGCGTTACTGTTAAATAACTAACTATCCTATAAAATTCATTGGGAATATCAAAAAAAGTCAAAAGCAAAATAAAAATATTGGTGAAACTAATAATGATAACATAAATAAGAGAGAATATAAGGCATCTACAGTTTTACCATATAAGGAGGGGACATCCAAGACCCTACGTAGGATTCCTAATAAAACAGGAATTAGGGTGGCATTCAAACCTACAAACTCACTCAGGTAGGACAATCTATGTAGGCTAAAAGACCTGGTGGACGCAATTAGACAAAATAATGTAATTTACAAAATACCTTGCAATAACTATGAGTTAAGTCAACTACATAGGTCAAACTATTTGGTCTGGGGTGGTCAGATTGTCAGAACATAAGAATTCAGCTAAGGTAAGAATGGTTGACGCAGAGAAGATAAGTAGTTTAGAAAAAAGCTCAGCAATTGCACTACATGCATTAACACAAAACTACACAATAGGGTGGGTGGGAGAGGGTTAAGATTCTAAGAAGTAATCTTTGTAGGCGGAGAGGGAGAGAGATTGATTACTGAATCCTGCCTGGTTCATTGAGTCTACACCCAACACAACACATGCAACAGAAATGACTCAATGCAGATACCAGAGATATGAAAGATATTATTACCACCAGTCAGTCAAATCAGAAGAGAATAATAAATAATCTTAAAATTCTATTTCAATTCAAGCTCATCACAACATTCTAACAAGTTACTTATTTCCCATCTGATTGTATTTGATCAATAACACTCATATTATTATTTCTGAATGTACATTATCCCATATTGATTTTTATTCAAATATCTCGTAAATTCCACACATGTATATAAATGAAGGAAAAAAGTTGTGTGAGTAACTTGATAAGATTATGAGTGGCAGTACTTTATGCTCGAAAAGTGGTAATCAGTTAATGATACTGTATAACACTGTGTGATTTATCAAAATAAAATTTTATCTACCACAGTGCCCAAGTTGTATACTTATATCAATAATCCATATCAATGCATGATGAAGCTTGAAGTTGGTTTACCTATCATCAATTGACCTAGCATCATACAACATTTATTTCTTTTCCTCTTGTAGAATGAGAATAGGTCAATCTGAAAGTAACCTGTTGAAAAATGATACTGCAATGTATCAATCAAATCCCAACCTAAAAAATTCCCGATATCGATCAGAGACTGTCTTATCAGCGATTGATCAACGTCAGCGTAGACAAGCAGCAGCCGCTGCTGCTACCGACAATTTAACCAATCGGTTATCATCGCATTCTAAATCGACTGGAATGTTCAATTCATTGAAATCTGTTAAACAACACAATGATGCGATAAAAGAGAAAACGACCGATGTACAAGAGGAGGATAGTGAAGTGGATAAATAATGATGACGATAACAATCAACTACACAAATAACACAACACCTCCTTTTTGTACATAATATACTACTTATATACACAATCAATCCATGAAAATAAAGAGATTATTTTGAAGACAATGGTCAAACAATTTATCAGCGTATAAAACTGAAGCGCACACTCACAACATTCCAACAACCAGGCTGAACAACAGGCCAACCACTCTCGAGATAGATAAATAGATATTTGTGTAAAAATGATTCCTTTTCCAATTGTCCTTTTTTTGTTTGTATCCGAACTGACCATTTCATCAAATTGCACTGTCTTTCCTTACGCCGTGTTCTTGCCTTGTCAAATCAATACTAATAAAAATTAACTCGCTTCTATGCTCAACAATATAAATATTTATCGACACACATATATATGTATCAGACATTTATTATTACTTTTCTATTTGTCCTTTTGATAACCCAAATAAAAAATATATATTTATAAAAATAACCGTGATAAATTTTTAGTTTAGGCCGTTGACCGACGCACATTTTCACTATCTCTTTGAGTTTGTCTGTTTTCTTTTTTTGTGTGTGTGATTACCTACGCACGCATGCATCTATCGAAATGTATTCAGTCAACCGAACTTAGACCAGTATTTATCTTTAAGAAAAATCTTAACTATTCATCACCCTTAATTACTTTTACTACTTCTTATCCACAATGAATTTAAATTATCCGCCTTTTTTATGTGTTATGACAACGCCTACGCATTGAATAGTTTAAACAAACAATATTTATAGATATATATACATATAAACGCGTATGTGTTACGTTATTTGCTGGGATAGCTTGTGTTTGAATGAGTCAATGCACACGAAAATCAACACAAATTGTGGTACAAATTAAATTGTGATCATTTGAATTTAAATTTGGATTATTTATTTATTTACTAAATTATTTATTTGTTTATTTATTATAATTAATTAATCTTTTCCAAAAATTCGTTTTATTCATAACAAGTAATAATAATAATAATAATGATAACAATTTGGTGCAGACAAAGTCTCATCATATTCACTAGTACTAGGGTGACAAACTCGAGAACTACGCCGAATTTATGTAAATTTCGAGAGTAATTCGACAGGCTGTCCAATAATTCCATGTTTTCCCCGGGGATAAGATGGTACCAGTATTGCATATCCATTTCTTTATTAGATATATCACACAAGGAAACAGTATTATTATTTACTGGATGACAAAGTTTCGAAGACAATTTATTATTCTTTATAATCATACCAAAATATAATCATACAACTTCGAAACTTGAGTTTTATAGTTTTCTTGCGTTCCTTCCCATTCTTCGTTGCATGGGTAGTGAGATTTTCCAGCTGTCCGGCTGGACAGGTGTTGAATCATTCCTGTTACACCTGTCTGCAGTTGATTCGATCAATCTCCCTCCCCCAACCTTGTTATATTAGATTTTAGAACTGTCATCTTATCCCATCCATCCTATTGTATGGTTGTGTGTAATAGCTGAACTATTCTCCAGATTTCTTGTCATATTCGCGTTAACTAATGTAGATTTTGTTGGGGTTTTCGTGCTCCGTTAGCTTAACTGACCTTGTTCTACTAATTTGACCTGACAATCATTGCAGCAGGGTATAAGATAAACTAAATTGTTTTGTTTGATGGCCCCCACATGATCCTTTAGCCGACAAGACTTGCTTCCGAGTCACTTTGTGGGCAGTTTCAGTGGCGGCCAGTTTTATTCCTGCATTCCTGAGAATTCTCCGTGAGGTTTCCGAGGTTCATTCTTTGTATAGAAGTACTACTGATAGGAATGATTCAACACCTGCAGAACCAGACATCTGGAAAATTCTACTACCCCAACGACGACAAATAGGAGAGGACAAAGTAAACTATAAAACTCAAGTTTCAATGTCGTGTGATTATAATTGATGAGATGATTATGAACAATAATGGATTGTGTTCGAAACTTTGTCCTCCAGTAAATAATAATACTCTTTCACTGTGTGATATGTCTGATAAACAACTTAATTTGGAATTACATACCACCACAGAGCCTAAGTTTTACACATATATTAATATGGTACAACCATCATTTATTGCGTTAGTTACTCATCAGCTCCGCTGCGTAGAGCTTGAGAAAATAATAACAATAATAATTTGCTTTATTCCAAAACAGTACTCGTGATACAGAATGGAATTGATATAAGAATAAAACCTGGGCACTGTGGTAGAGTATAACTCCATAATGGATAAGATTTTATTTTGATAAATCACACAGTGTTGTCATCAGTTAATATAACTGTATTTTTGATTGCACACTAGTCAGTAACTAGTGTAATGCGTCTAGTCCTATCTTCGGTGCAGACTGAATTCTATCGGTCATGTTTGCAATGTGGCCACCATGCTAGGTGGCTCGCCATTACGGTGCACTGTGAATTGTTGGTATTAGATGGTTGGAGGCAATCGGCCACAGGAAGCCTTGGACCTAGGTTTCGTGCTAGTTGGCACTCATCAGCTAACTAGCCAACTAGCACGAAACCTCGGTCCAAGGCTTCCTGCCGATTGCCTCCAATCATCTAATAATATAACTGTACAACACTGTGTGATTTATCAAAATAAAATCTTATCCATTACAGAATGGAATTTTCAGCATTTCACTACAGTATTGCATCCAGTTTGGACATTAACAATAAATAAAATTCTACATAGATTATGGGTAGTCTCAGTTAATTTTGACATCAACATATTAGCAAATCAGTAGCAAAGCCAAAAGTGAACAGAATATTTGAAGGTGCTTAGAAAAGTAAATACTAGCATATTTACTGGTGTAAGCGGTAGCAAAATAGATCGAGATATACAGAGTGTGAAAGAACGAAGAAGAATGTTTTAAATAGAGTTTGTAAGGAAGAGAGAAATAAAGCAGCACATAACAAAAAAAGAGAAAAGGAAAAGAAAGAAATAAACGTTGTACCTATAAATGATATGAGTTAGAAAGACGAGATCCGATTGTTCTACTGACAATTTAATACGTTATAAGTTTCACGCCTAATGCTTTCTTTATCGCACAGAACACGAGCCAAGTAGGGTATAGTTGAGTTTTTGTACTTGCTAGTGAGAGCATATAGTTGCCTATATATGCTTCTGGTCCTGCCTCATGAGATACAAGGGGAGAGTGTCACTTAGCGATAGGAGACTCCAAACTTAATGAACAGCAATCAGAAACTTACACTTACATAGTCTATACCTAGAAAGTTCGCGTTTAAGCCAGAAAAATAAATTCAAGTGTTCATTTTCAAGGATTTGATTGGTTTCAGGATTTCATCATGAACATTGGTTAGAGGACCATTGGCCCAGTTCGGGACTCTCCAGCAGTACGCAACCAATGAGGTTCGAACCCAGGACCTTCTGTCTTCAAGGCGAACTCGTAGAACCCTAAGCCATTGGTATCCGACCTAATGGTCAGCCCATCAATGTACTCCAATGGTCGCGACTTCCCACTCGAAGCCAGGTAACTGCCTACCTGGATACGGCCAGTCACTAGAGCCCATCAGAGTGAACATAAGCCACTACAAATCAAAATTTTGTATAGGTTAAGTCATAAACAAGAGGTAAGAAGATAACGTTAGGATATGGGATAAGGGTGAAAATATCAGTAAGTAAATTGAACCTTGGTTCTAAATTAGATTACCAATGCAGGTTTAAAGTAGTAACAAATAATTCCTGGACATAAGAAAAGGCACAAACAGCGAGGGAAATTTTCTTTTCGACGATTCATTTTCATAAACTGCTGTACAATCATAATTATATTAAACAAAGAGATCTTTAGACCAATCAGATACTGGTAAATTTTTGTCCTTGGAAAATTGTATTACATAAAGTAAGGTGTAAGAAGGGATGACTAATTGTATGTAAGTTAGAAAAGAGACAGGAGTTGGTATGACGTAATAAGTGTGAGATAATGACCAACTAATCAATAAGCTCGTGAACAGGAACTAGTGGAAAGGCGATAAAGTGTTTTATATAAAATCTGTATGAAAAAGCAATGTTATTAATAAACAGTAATGCAGTGGTAATAAAATATGGATGATGGGAATAATAATGATAATAAAATAATAAATGTGCGTCGGTGGCACAGTGGTTAGGACTCTCGCCGACAATCCACATGGTCCGAGGTTCAATCCCCCACCGACGCACATCTGATATCACTGATCGGCCTGCTAAATTTGGGCTACCGATATCACATGCTGAAAATTTCATACTTGTACCAAAATACTGTGTGGAATCAAGCTATAATTTAAAAAATAAATAATAATTATAAATATAATAATGATAATAATAATAATAGTGAACTTACATAATAAAAGAAAGAAGCAAAATTGTAGTAAGAACTTTACTCTGGCCACGGTAGGGCGAGAGAATATATGTATCGCTTTTGAATGCAGAGGTCCGGTTTCAGATCTCGAATAGCTAATGCTTTGGCTATGTACAGATGGCGAATCCGAAGTTCCTTTGTACGATATTGAGGGACTCTGTGTATCACTGTGAAGCATTCATGTGCGGGTGCTCGATGTCTGGAGATGACAAGGTGTTCGAGGATACAGCTGCTGTTATTCTTCTTCTCTCTTCTAGTTGATCAAGCTGGACAGTGTCCCAGAATACATTTGTAGACTTGACGTTGCGTAAGGACGATATACTTTGCTCCACACGAGCAAGTATGTACATTATGTAATACATTTTTTCAAGGACAAAGTTTACCAGTATCTGATTGGTCTAAAGATTTCTTTGTTTAATATAATTACGATTATTGTACAGCAGCTTATGAAAATGAATCGTCGAAAAGAAAATTTTCTTCGCTGTTTATGCCTTTTTCTTATGACTCAATATGGGAATATTTCGTTCATTGAAGAATTCCTGGACACATAAGACAGACAGGTTTAAGCCTTTTTATGGCCAAGACTTCAACAAATTTAAGTACGTGACCTAAACTTCTTTTAAATGTGGATTTAAAGGCGTTATTGAAATCAACCTTGTGACCCATCACTGCACTGCAATTGCGTAACACATTTAGGATGTTCTAATCACGCATGTACTTATCATACACATTTACATAGAAGGCAAAAGAACATAAATTATTTCACTACAGGAAGGAACCTGAAAGAAACAACCTCCTTTACCTACCTACCTGGGAAGCATCGTTTCAACTACAGTCAGGCGGAACTGACGAGGATATCAATGCAGCGAGGATCGGGAAAGCAAGACAAGCTTTCACTACTCTCAAGTCTGTGTGGAGGTCAACAGCACTCAGCATGCAAAATGAGATCCAGATTTTCAACTCCAATGTAAAGTCAGTGCTACTATACGGATCAGAGACTTGGTCAGCGCGTTATAAAGAGCATCTCAAACAAATTACAGACCTTCATTAACGGTTGCCTTCGCTCAATACTCAAGATCAGATGGCCGGCCAGAAAAGATCAGCAATAGGAACCTGTGGTAGAAAACCAACCAGGAACCGATTGTGCAACAAATAAGCAGGAAGAAATGGAGATGGATTGGCTGGCCATACTCTAAGTAAACCATCAAGTGAGTGACATCACTAGACAAGCCATCGCTCGAGTGGAACTCGAAAGGGAAGCGGCGACTTGGTCGTCCAAGGGTGACATGGAGGAGGTCATGTGAAGAGGAGATGAAAGCGTGTGGGCAGACTTGGAGCCAGGTGAAAACGTTAGCAGAGAACCGAACTCAATGGAGACACGCGGCTGAAGCCCTATGTTTCTCTAGGAATTAAAGGAGATAATACTGATAACAGGGGTGACGTCATTTGTGACAGTGACCTAGCACACAATTTGACCTTTATTGTAATAATTCATGCTCTCCTGACTTCTATAAGAAAAGAAATGAATAATAAATGCGTGCATACAATGGCAAAAGAGTTACGTGATAAAGACAAGACGTGAATAAGATTATGAATAACTTATAAAGTGAGTCACAAT